TTTTTGTCTACTACTAAATCGTGTATGTTAGATATATCGAATACAAATGACTGAAATGGCAATTAATATAATAAATAATATAGGTACTGTCAAAATAATAAAATAACGTTAAAAATATATTAACCAATAATATATTTATACAGAGACAATTATACCAGCATATCTTTATAGAATTTCGAACTGCTTCAATAAATTTGTGTCTTGTACAAAAAATGGGATTTACTTATTTCGCTTTGGGCTAGTCACCGCTTATACAAAGATAAACGACATACAAATACATATATATATATATATATATATGCAGAGTAGATTCAACCCCCAAAGCCCCTCCTGCACCCCCTGACTAAGGTATCAACTGGTTAGATTAGAAAAGGCGAGGCGTATAGAAAATAGAACAGGACGAAAAATTCACGCGCAACATTCATTTTATCTTCGGATATCGATTGCTTCTACTTCTATAAAAGATACCACCACATATATAAATGTGTATATATATATATATATATATATATATATATATATTGTAGCGCCACGAGTTCAAAGGAGCAACGCTGTCGACATCTGTGCGACACGCTTGGTAATTAACAAGTTACTGTTATGTTTTAAATATTTTAATTGCGGTAGCTAGATTATCGAAATTGAAATTAACTTCCCTAAGTTTGTTTTTGCCAGAAAATCCTGTTCGCTAGTTTTATGATATTTCGACGTTTCAAGTCATTCTGAATCGTTTGAGATCAAATTTGGTAGTGCCATGTGTGCGGGAGCTAGAGATGGGTAACACACTCCGGAGTTAACACTGATACAACTCCACCCTCGGAGTTAATCCGGGTCCGAGCGGAGTTGTATCGGAGATTTTGCCATATTCGACTTCCCTAAACTTGGTACTAGATCTGTTAACAAGTGCAGATATTTGCACAAGTGGTCGCTTTCTAGTCTCACAGGCAATTTTATGACTATCTATGTATAAAATTACCTAAAATAATGCAATTTTGTATTCTATATTCTCTCTACGATAATCCTTTACAATCCAGCATTTATAGATATATTTTTTATATCATGGTTTTATCATTGACATTTATTTATTCAGAAATTGTCTGGGCGCCTGGCTGCCTAGTTGATCCCTTAGAGCAAAATAATTACCCTGATATTTCAATATTTTTATGGTCTCTTTTTCGGCATACAATTTGAGATTTGTATGCATATTGAAATGCATAAAATAGTAATTTCTCATAATAAAATGAAAAAAATATTTGTAAACAATTTCCAAAGTCTTAATAAATCCTTAGATATGTTAACAACACACTAGAGAACACATTTGTGTCAAGTATTATGTTTCAATGTTGTCGGAGTTGTGGAGTTGTTAAGTGGATATAACTCCTTTATGAATTAGAGTCAAATCCTAACCGATCTGGCTTCGGATATGATAAGGCCGATTTTTGATACTTCGTCAAGGTTTTTTCATAAGCAATTCGATGTTCTTCGCACTTGGGAGATTCTAATCAGAAATTATGCCAAGCATATGTACATTCACACTTAAACAAAATACATGTTTAGAACACGAAATAGATGACAAGAAATATAATAAACAAATTATTTTAATTTATACAATATTAGCAAACCCGACGAACTCCGTTTCGCCACCAGAAGATTTGTAAGGGAAAAATTTGATTTTATTACACAACAGTAATGAATTTATTTCGATTACAAAAATAAAGTGTTTTTTAGTTGAACTTCTCTAAGTAAATGAAAGTGAATCCGCAAATTATCCGTTTCATTGAAGTGCTCTTTGGTAAACCACATTTTTTGTTTTTTGGTCTGACGTTAACACAAACAAAGCGGATGGTTTTCCAACTCGTGAACAGGCAACGTATAACTGCCCATGTGAAAAACAATGATTTTCTAAATAATCTATTTGAAATTTATTCCGCAAACACTAAGCGATTGGCCTTGAGACTTGTTAATTGTCATTGCGAACGCAAGGCGAATTGGAAATTGCAATCGTTTGAAGTCAAACGGAAAACCAGTCAGAATCATTGGTATGTCACCAAATCGCCAGCAATTTTTGATTGAATGGTGAAATTCAGTGCGTGTACATCATTATTCTTTGCGGCAAGAATTGCTTGTTGACTTAAACACGCATAATTCTGATAATTCTCACTAATGTCATTACTCGAATTTTTCATTACGGTGCGTGAAGTTCCAGCAATTTGCATTAAGGCACGATGCCATGCACCACTAATTTTCTTAGCTATAATCCTTGCGGAGCCCGAGACCTTTTCAACGAATGCAAATTTGTCGAAATCAGTTCGTGCGTTCTGGAGTTATTTCGACAGGAAAGAAAACCCGACTTATTTATATATACTATATATATGTATATTATTACATACCTATTCAATTTCCTTATCCCATATTTATATTTTCTTAAAGTAATTTCATCTTAATAGTAACATTATATTAATATTAAATTCAATAAAAGGATCGGAAATCGGTTTTTTCTTCGACCGGAAGAAAAGTGTTACGTGATATAAGAAAGTTTTCTTTTTTCTCGACAGATGTTGTTGTTCGTGAGTTATATAATGGTCGACATTAATATTGTCCACGGGAATCGGATATATATAGGTCGACGACAATATATATATATATATATTCCTCCACCGCGAGGAGTTCGTGAGAAAAGCGTTATTAAAGTTAGTGATAGTTTGATAAAAGTTTGACTAGTTTTTCGATCACCAGGAAATTGTCGTGACGTCATATCAACACCTACACGAAATAGATTATTACACGGAAAATCTTTACTTTATAAACATTTACAAATTTTTAACTTTCCTTAGCGTAAGTTATAGTAATCGCAAATAAATCAAAAATGACAATTTTATACATCTTCACGTTTTCATGGGTTTCTTAACATTTTGGCATACCTTAGATAAAATGGATGTATGTGTGTGCGGATACAAATTTCCGTCGACGATTTTGGGAACACCGATTAACCGATTTGAATACTTCAAAAAAAACATTCGATTCTTATTCATAAGAAGACGTGCTAATTAGTTTTTGGCAAAGGCAGAATTCTATATTTCTTCTCTATGTAGCTAAAGCAGTGCATTTGCTTTGAAAAAAAGTTCAATATTTACATTTTTTCCAAAAGTTTTTTTTTCAAAAAATTAATTTTTTTTTTCAAAAACTTAAAATTGCTCAAAAATCAATTTTTTCGAAGTTCAAAAAAATTAATCTTTTATAAATAATTAAATTTTTGGTACGGGAGCTATTTGCCTCAAGGCACGATGTCATATACCACTAGTTACTATTTTTGTAACAAATTTTACGAGTCTTTTTAACTTAAGAATATCTGCTTATAATCCACAATTATATAAAATCATAATTTTATTATCAACTTTTCATAGAGTAAGTTAAAGTAATCGCAAAAAATCAAAAATAAAAATTATTGCATATCTTTACGTTTCAAAGTAAAAAAATGTATGTATGATGTGTACAATTTTTCGTCCACGATTTCAACCGATTTGAATTATTCAAAAAAAAAACATACGATTGTTAACATCATTCCTCTCTATTAAACACACATCATCTCTAATTACTCGTTTATTGTCTCTAATGACACTCTCTACAATATTCATCTCTATATGTCACAATTTGTCTCTCACAATATATAATATACTCATACATATAAGTAGATTATTATTTTGTTATTTTAGCATAACAATTCTTTTCATGCTATATTTTCAAAAATTTACCTTACTTGTATTACATATTATTCCAAACTTTATTAAGTTTTGAAAATTAAACCAGTTTTCGAATGACAAATATTTTAGGACATTGGTTAAGGATAAAACCAGAAAGTTTATTACTATGCAAAGTATCATTAATTGCAAAGAAACGGCCCGACCGATCTTTACAAAAATAATAATAATCACGATTCCTAAATGATATTTTTCAAAACGTTTTCGAATTTTTTAAAATTGATTCAGGATATTTGATGAAAACGTGGGCTACAAATTTGCACTTCACTGCTAATTCTAAAGAAACATCACAACCGATTTCAGCGTCAAATAAAACATTAATTGTTAATTATAAATATGAACTACATGACCAATCTTTGCTAAAAATTAATTAGATTAAAATTTTCTTTTAACGATTTTGTATTTTTAAAGCTATTTTTTGCAGTTTTCCTTGTTGTCCATTTCAGGATAGGTGTGAAAATTACTATAAGATAAAAAAGTGAAATATGCAATATACGATTCAAAATTAGTTGAAACGTGGAAAAAATAATAAATAATTTAAAATACATTGAACGGGAACAAAGTTATAGAATATAGAATTCGTTTTAACTAAATAATAATATTCGTCTAATATAAATCTCTTATCTAATAGGCAAAACGCAACAAGTTTCTAAAAACGAGTTTATTCAATAAATGTCTTAAATAACATAGTTAGATATTCCGCATTCTAAAACAACGTTGATAGTATCAAATATAAAACAAAAAAAATATTTAATAAAAATATAATTTATTTAATAAATCAGACAATCAAGAAAGTTGGTATTTTATACATATTTTTAATCATAAAAAATATTTTACAGTTTTTGTATAAAAATTAGTACATGAGAACAATAGTTGATTGTCTGGTTTACATATATAATATACATATACATATAAAACTGTATATATATACATATAGTTACATTTATATATCGATTAATGTATGAACAACTTTGGTAACCAAAAATCTTTATTTATATTTCAAAAAAGATTTATTACTCAAACTTATTATTACAAGCACTATAAGTTCAAAGCTACTAAATAATTTGAAGGGTTAGAGTCATTTTTATCTGTTACAAATAAGTCTTATACAAAACTTATAATTTGGCCCAAAAATTTATACACAAATATTGACAAAAATAAATGAACCAAAGATGTAAATATTTATTTGCAACAATATTAAAACAATTGTATTATCACACTAAAAATTATACGAAAAGCATTGAAGTGACAAACAAGTTCACATAATAGTTGTCCATAAATTATCAATATATAAATATTCATTTTATTTTTTAAATATGTCCATTACTACTCTTACTTTTATAAGTACAAGCTAGCAGCAAAAACAATATCCCTCTTCAGCAATTGAATCCCTTCGCTAAACTTGATCTCCAAGTCAGTATTTCCTATACTTTTGGCAGCCTGAATCATCTGCCTCAAAAGCTCCTCCAGTCGTCTCATACATCGAATGATAGATCCTTCGAATATATCAGTCATTTTGCAAATTTCTGCAAATTTCGATCCCCGACACCAGGCAATGACAACATCCATCATGTGCGGTTTGAATTGCTGGATGTAAGCCTCTTCGTCGATTTCTATTTTGGATTCTTTGCTGACTTTTGCTATTTTTCTTGCCAGGTTCTAGAATAGAAAAGATACATGGATTTGGAATAGAAAGTTTTGAGCGTTTAAAGTATTTTGTTATGAATATGTGATTGGTTTTTACCAAGGTGATCCAAAGATGATGTGCACTTAAAAAAACAATAAAAATACGTGAAGTATGAAACTGTTGCATGAAGGCAAATTGCATGAACTTTGCGATATGTGTAAATAAACGACAAAATAATAATTGAGATTGAGCTATTTAGATAAAATTGTCAACTCAAAAAAAGTTGAAGCTTTCACCAGTGCTGGATTTACAGTAGGGGCAATCGAGGCTACTGCCCAGGGCGGCAAATTTTGGGGGGCGGCAAAATTTGGATAGTGAGAAAAAAATTCTATACAATATAATCAACTTTTCTTTAACAAGAATTTTTATTTCAAGTAACAATACGATTGCAATCGAATTGGTTAATAAGTTATTAAATTTGGCCATTTGGCTAATAATAAGATCCGTAAACAAGCTGAAAGTTTAAGAAAAATATGTTCTTCAGTTCTCGAGCCCTCTTAAAATGACGAATTTGTGCATTTCCAAGCTTATAGCGTCGAAAAAAATTTAAACTAGTGACTTGCATTGTGCCTTAAGACAAATTACTGAAACATTCCGTACTGAAAATTACATTTTATAAAGAGCTTTAAATTTTATTGAAAAATGAAAAAACAAGACTTAAAACACATTTTTTGTATTTTGAAATTTTTCGAAAATTATGAACTTTTTACAAAGAAGAGAAGAAATATCGAAACTCAATTACCATTTTTCGTAATTGCCTGTACCAAAAGCTAATCAGCACATCTCCCCATCAATACAAATCTAATATTTTTTAATTATTCAAGTCGATTTCGAGAACACGGATCAATCGATTTAAATGATTCAATTCCTATTGATAAAGAGACGTGCTGATTAGTTATTGACCAAGGCAGGTCCAACTGTTCTGAGGATACGGGCCAAAATGCCAAAATTGATAATTCAGTTTTTAAGATAAAAAGCGTCCAACATCATTCAAAAAAATTTTACAAAATAAATAACTTCTAAAATTTTTGGGGGGCAGGTTTAGCGGTTTCGATGATCCAATAAAAAAATTTGAAAAAGAAACATTTGGCGGACAAAAGCCTTTTGGCCCATTAATTTATCAGATATTTTAAAGATATTATAATAATAAGCATATTTTTTTTACATTTATATGCGTTCTGTAACATTGTTTATCCTTTAGACTGCGACGCGGCGCTTACGCGCTTCTATATTTTGTCTCTACGCAGCTGAAGCAGCGCGAATGCTTTAAAAAAAAGTTCAAAAGTTTGTAAAATTTCAGGGATGGGGCGGCATTTTTGTCAGTGCCCCGGGGCGCCAAATTTCTAAATTCGGCCCTGGCTTTCACTAAAAACTGTTCGATGCGATTTCCAACTGATGTCTTTCAAACATACTTGTAATAATTATAATGTATTATGGTGCACAAATTTGCACTTAGAACAAACACGGTGCATGTTCTAAAGGCGCAAAAGCCTATTCATTATTCTAAAGATAATTGGCTTACAAACCACTTTTTGTAAGCCAATAATATTTTATAATGCTTTATTAAAGTTATCAAATCAATTACGTTTTACTGTAATTACTATAATTACTGTAGTTAATTACAAAAAAACGGCGCAACCAATATTTTATTTAAAAAATCTGCACAATTCCCAAATGATATCTTTCGAATAGACTTAAAAATTTAAAAAACGCTGCCGAATATTTGGCGAAAACGTTGACGTAATATTTATTATAAATGAAACCAAAAAAGTTTTTGGAGCAGGCATTCATCCAGCTAATAAAAAAAACAATCACGTTTCTAAATAATTTTAACACTTTCTCCACTCACGAATTCGAAAGGGTTAAAAAACAGTCTCAAATTGAGATTCGTAATGTATTAAGTCTGCTAAAAAATTGTTTAGAAACATAATTTTGTTCTTTTTTCTTGTATCTGAATGGATGTCTCTCAAAAAACTATTTTGGTTTTATGTATATATCATATTTCACCATCTAACAAAAAATTACATATTGCATGTAAATATGATAATTTTTTTATAAAAAATCACAATTTTCATTTTTTCGTTCTATCTAAACTTCATAATTTAATTATAACTTCATAAACGGCACGGTAGATTTTCATTTCATTCCCAACCAATATCGTCGAAAAGTTTTTGATTTTTTAAAATCCATTCGGTAGTATGAGCTTAAATGTGAACGAAAGGTTTAACACTATTTTCCAAATTACAAAGAAACGGCTCGGCCGATCGTCGCACAAAACTGAGGAACGATAATCCTCATCGATATACATCGAATGGTTTTTAAATTTCTGAAATCGGTTCAGGCGTTTCTGAGAAAACGTCACTCAAAGGTCTAATTTTGACAAATGCCAAAAAAACGATACCAATTTTTGCAAACTTTGACGAATTCTCAAAGTTAAACGAGTTATCGTAGGGCCGTAATATTTTAGTATGATCTAAAGGACTATGGTGTCTACCGTCAAAAAAAAATCATAAAAATCGTCGAAAAAAAAATTTAACACTTTTAAAACTAATCAGCGCGATTCCCAACCAATACCTTACAAACAGTTTTTGAATTTTCAAAATTGATTCAGAATTGCGGGCTAAAACATGGACGAAAAATGTTTCACTTTTCTCCGATTTACAAAGAAACGGCTTGGTCGATCGTCCCATAAAACAATAAGTCAAACAATTTCCTCATCGAGATACATCGAATGGCTTTTAAATTTTTGAAACCGGTCCAGCCGTTTCCGAGAAAACGTCGATTTCCGGCAAAAAATCTGTTCACACACACGCACACATACGCACATACTTTTTCCAAATTTGGTCTCATTCGATTCAGAATGGCTTGAAACGTCAAGAAAGCAAAATTAGCGAAACGGATTTTTTTATGAAAACAAACTTCTCCTTCGGGAAGTTAATAATTCTCTGAAAGTTTTAGCTCTCAATATTAACTTTTAGACAGTGCGCAATTCAATCAAAGTTTTGTATGGAAATAGCATGAAAAATTTTTCAAAAATTTTGCAAAGCGTCGAATATTCAATAAAAAATTACACGAATTTTCACTTTTAATTCATTTGTCGCAAAGTTATACCTAAAGATTTTTTCTTAATTTTCAAAATTTTTTCCATGCTCTTTCCATACAAACTTTGATTGAATTGCGCTCTATCTAAACCTTAATATTAAGAGCTAAAACTTTCAGAGAATTGTTTTTTATCAATTTGGAACCATTTGAGCCCTTGGGAGCAAGGAAATTCGAAAATGTCCATATTAAGGACCACCCTAATATATATATATATATATATATATATGATTTAGTAGTTAATTTTGATGTTGAAATATATGAGTGAGTTCTTGAGGGCCCTCAAGAACTCACTCATATATATATATATATATATATATATATATATACATTGATGAGTTATTTAGAATCGGGCAGTAACACCAAGTAAAAAAAAACTAAAGTAGTTTTGATTTATATATATATATATATATATATATATATATATACATTATATATCTATTATTTCTTACATGCATATGCCTCAGAGGTCCCGATAGCGTCTCAGTAGCCTTCTGCGTCTCCTGACTCTTCTCGTCACAGACAAAGCAGCTCAAAAGAGCGAGACACTCCTCGACTTTGATACCATTAAAAATACCTTCAAACATCATTTCCGTCATAAGCAATTCGTCGGCGCTGCTCAATTCGCAGGCAACGCGACCCTTTATCTCTATGACATCCGATGGGGTGCAGTAACCGAGACGTCTCAGTACACGCTTTCTGCACTTTAGCTCTTCCATGTGGAGAAGGGACATTGCCTTAATAGATAGAAAAATGATAATATAATTTATATATATATGTATATATATATATATATATATATATATGTCTTTTTACCTTTTTCAATGCCTGTTTTGCACTTTTAAAATCCGCAGTCACTTGTAGTTTATTTGTGTAATCATTATACAACTTATCAAGATTAGCATCTTTGTGTAAGGGATGTTTGTAAAGTCTGTAAACAAATTAAAAACATTTCATATAATATCTTATATATAAAAATGGAGCTCTCTTTCAAATGTCCGAATAAAACTCGAAAACGGCTGAATCCATTTGGCCAGTCTTAGTCTTGAAAAATTCGTGCCAATCCAGAGAAAGTCCAAAAGGTGAGATATTATTTCAAATCCGCGTAGAAACTTAACATTTTTAATTTGAAAATTGTTGTAGAAGCGTAATTTAAATAAAACAATGGACAGTGGCAATTTCGTGAAATGTCAAACGCTTTTGACAGATGATGTTCAATTATGTTTAATAGGATGTTTTACGTGAATATTATTTAATTATGATTAAATTGTAGTAAGTATCTTCGTTTGTAGTTTTATTTATATACAAAAACGTTAGTAAACGGGCCGCAAGTGTTACTAGAGACTCAAAATATAAACTTTTTTGATATGTTAATATGAAAATGCACTCTTTGGCATTTTTTCTCAAACACGGTGCTTTGAAAGATCTCATTTGTATAATTATATACTCATTGGTATTTATAAAACATTTTCTAGGTTATATTATTTTTTATTTATCTTACCTGAATTTGGTATCGATCAAATGGACATTTTGTCGATTAACATTTTTCCAGTTATAATTTCCCAGAATTTATCACAGAATAGATAGTAATATATGAAGGTCCGGGATTAAAAACCACCGATGTAACCAGTAAAGTTAAGCATTGTTTAACAACAATATTTGAAAGAAGAGGGAAAAAGTTGTATAACCAGCTATAACCTTTGATTCTTATGACTTTGCTATCGGGAGATAAACGGTAATCTTTGAAAATCCATAATAAAAGTATTTTCTTTCGTTGGTAGTTTTTTAACATTTGTTAAAAGTGTAATTATTTTGTAAAATACCTTTAAAATTAAAATAAGACATTAAACCTGTTTGCTACCTGCCCGTTCCAAGTTACCCCGTTTATGGGGTAAAAAGGTCCAGATAACAAATTTTTGGAAGACATCAGAAAAGCACATTTTTACAATGATGAAGTAGCTGGCAGTTTCACTGAACGCAGTCAGGTAATTGTTCGGTTGAAATGTGTTATTTGTTATGATATAATTGGTTTAATTTTTATAATATAATTAATATTTGCTCAAAGTCAAATTGGACGTTATTGTCTCGCCCCACTCTACATATATACTTTTTATTAAATTTACTTTAATTCATTGAATGTTACTTGAAACTTTTTAAAATGCAGGTCAAAGAAAAAATACTAAATTCATTTTCTATCTTTCCTCGCAGAAATTTGAAAATTTTGTATAAGTTCAGTAGTATTATTTACAATTATACACAAAAATCCACAATCCAAAAAGAATCTGAAAAACTTGAAACGTAATCAATAAATCGAAAGACCAAAAAAGACTTGGAATGGATTTTACTATGTTTTCTATAGAAAGTGTATAAATCTTCCAGTTTGATTGTACTGACAAAATATAGACAAACTAATGGTGTTTATTGTTTTTATAATACATCATTGTATTATATTGCATTAAAACAACTCATCCTTATACACAAAAAGTATTAATATTTTTGATTCTCTAGAAATTCTTTAGAATATACCTTACTTAGCAAAACAACGTTTGCCGGGTCAGCTAGTATATATATATATATATATATATATATATATATATATATATATATATATACATATATATATATATATTTATATACACAAGATATAGTTATAAATGATATCTTTCTTACCTTTCTTCAAATTGTTCTATTAAATTCTTACAATTCAAAAATTCCTCATCCTTGATATGCATTTCCTCAATCGGTTTCAACAAAGGAGGCCCCTCTGGAAATCTTTTCTTAACCTCTTGTATCGTTTTAAACATCGATTTTCTGCTATCAATGGGTCTCAAATCATTTGGACAATGAACTCGGACAGAACTAATCTTCCATATGGCACCATGTTCCACTGATATCACCTTAAATGAACAATAGCAATACCTTCTTTACTTTTAACTGCTTAATATTATCTCCATGTTGCCATAAGATATAAAATATGTAACATGAATAGTTACTACACTTATAGTAAAATTTTGAAGGAATTAACCCTCCGTCGGTCGGATATTTTTTCACCTTCGAACGGTCGGAAAGGTCTGGCTGGACCACCATTCATTTTACATGCATTTATATAGGATAAATGAGTTTTTGATGTCTTATATATTAACGATTATTAGTAGTAAATATTTATAGTTTTGATTTGATGCATGATTGCATGTGTGGAGCTTGCTTATAATAAAAATATTACATATTATATTATATAAAAAAAAATCAAGAAATATAAAAAATCGTTGCTTTTTTGTTAATTTTTCTGTTTTATATCAATGAGCAATACGGGTAGAAAAATTGTTGATAATGTGTACATTACTCATCCCATTTTCAGTGTTTGTGATTAGCAATAAGTTTGGTAGGTTTTCAAGGAACTCTCGTCATGAATAGACTAACATTCATGTTACAACACATAGCAAAGAATATATACAACGCAGTTTGAATATAAAATACCATGAAAAAAGACAAAAAACTGGTTTACATATATCAAAAAGCGTATATTTCATACAAAATGTATGGGTGGTCTAGACAGACCTTTCCGACCGTTCGAAGTATAAAAAAGTTAATATCCTTATAATTATCCTTCCGTACATTTTTTCGTCTTGATTTTTTCATTGATCGACAGCTAATTAAATTTTAGGAAAAGTCAAGAAATTTCAAGCCGATAGAATTACTAGAAGTATTCTTTTTTTTTTAATTGAAGTCGAAAAAAGCCTGGCCAGACCACGCCGACCGACGGAGGGTTAAGGGGGGCGATACATGTAACAAGAAAAAAAAAATCGATTTTTTTTTCTTTCATAAATCGTTACAATAACATCTCAAAAATATGCCTGTAAATATTCAAAACAAAATTATCATTATTTATACAATAAAAACTCATTTAAGTGCCACGCCTCAACTCGACGCTTGAGTGCTATTTACTCTTATCTGTTTCTATGTGTCAAAACTTTAAACGCGTTTTTCTCAAAACGACATTTTTGAAATTTGCGGGCGCGATAACTCAAACAGTTCTCAACCGATTCCAATGAAATTTTGCACACATCTACTTTACAGTAATAGCTTCTAGTTAAACCTCAAACATTCCAAAAAAATTTTCAAAAATTAACCCTTTTACCAAAAAAAACCATTGAAAAGAAGGTGAAAAATCGAACTTTTTTTTCTGAGGTGTGCCAATTTACAATTTTGTGACTTTAATTTTTTTTTGGTTTAACTAGAAGATATATGTTTTATGAACACGTACAAACTAATTTTTTGATTTCAAATCACCGTACGAAAAGTGAGAACGCCCGCAAATTGATGGCGTTTTCCGAGAGGGTCTCGGCAGATTTATTTTTACGGCAGCCATTTAAAAAAAAAAAAATAAAAAAAAATTTTTTTTGTGTATTCTAATATATAATAAATAACCCTAAAAAAGTTCAAAAAGATTCAATCATTCCTTCCCAGTTTAAAAAGTCCTCAAAAAATGGTAAAAATTAAGGCGATTACATGTATCGCCCCTCTTAAGTATACTTGGCGTAAGATGTGTAGGAAAGTTTTCAAATTATTTCCACTTACCTCAATATCTCCAGTTTCTCCTTCCAAGCAAGGCGGAGGTATCTTTGATACCTGACTACTATTTGCTGCATCATCAATTTTGGCAATATGCAACAAAATATCGACAATCACATGATGCTCCTCATCGCTCATCGGATTTGGGTTCCTTCTGCCTCTTATGGGTCTCTGGGTAACTCTTTGCTTCTTATAATTCACCACCATGCCCCAATCGTATTCATGTAAAGTGTTTTTAACCTATGATAAATGATAATTTATTATTAATTAAGGGGCACAACTAGTGTGAAATTTTCAAAAAATCGAAGTTTCAATTTTTCGGTATTTCGATAGGTTATACCTTTAAAAATAACCAAAATTTTAAATCGATATCTTAAATAGTTTTTGAGTCACAGCCATTGAAAGAGTATACGTGAGTATATAGTATAACGAACATTTTATCTTTAAACGCGTTTTTCTAGAAACAGCATTTTCCGAATTTGCTGCAGCGATTACTCAAAAACAAATGATCCGATCACTATCGAATTTTTTTTACATGTTCTATATATGTGCCCATAATTATGAAAGTGGTCTAAGTCATATATTTCTTGTTTCAAGATATTTAATGATTTGCATTTGAATAAATTAACAAATATTTTTACATTATGCGGCATTTTAATTTTTAATTTTATTAGTCTTAATTAATGGAAATTTATTATGAATATGAAATTTTGTGTAAATTTCATACGATAATATTGTTTTTAAAGGTCGAATTGACTTAGACCATTTTCAAAATTAACTGAATGTCCTATAAATGGCTTAAAGCAATAAAGAGCTTTGAGTTTTATTTGAAACAATAATTATAATGAAATAATTCGTGAGCATTTATTAATTATTTTTAAACGGTAATCCATTTTTATCATTATTTCGAGTATTTAAGATTCTTAAAATGTTCCTGAAAAACTGGTGGGATGTACGGTAGTAAACTCATAATATCTTTGTTTTTCTTCCGATACCGGTCTAATGCTGGTGTATAATGTAAGTAATTTAATATTTCCGTATATTTTCGGTCTTTCTCTTTTAGGTGAAAGATCCAAAACGTGGAATGTAGAATCATCTAAAGAAGTTTTATAAAGCATTTTATAAGGTTCAATTTTCAAGAATCTCATCCATTGAATTTGTAGCCAAGAGACAGATTCGCCCGCGGTATTTTTTGCTCTTCTTGTTATTGTATCTTCTAATGATTTCGTTGAAATAAAATCCGGCTGCGACATTCGCTTTATCGAAAATGTATTGCTTCTTCTGCTCTTTTCTATCAATGCATAATAATGCTCAGGGTCGTATAAGTAATTTGCTTTTTTTATTTTCATTTCTATCAACCCAAAATCACGATCATTCGGTAGAAAGGAATGACCTGACACCAAAAATTTTTGACTTAGACCACTTTCATAATTAACACTAAATGAATTCCATATAATGTTGAAATTACAACCACTATATAATGGTTCATTTTTGATAATTTCGTAAAAATTACATTGAATACATTTAGTTTAAACTAATGTGGTATGAAATAACTGATAAACTCTTTTTTTTTTCAATTTTGACTTATTGTTAGACCACTTTCATAATTATGGGCACATATAGTTGTCCGTAAAATGAACTATCGATTTTTTGATCGGATCAAAAATCGAATTTTGGCAGTCAAAAAACGACCAAAATTTTGGGTAAAATTCGACGTTTTTTTAAAAAACGCCGTCATTTTGTCAATTTTTGATTTTTTTTCTTTCTTGTAGTTCATTTTACAGACAATATTATCTAGTTTAACGAGATTTTTTTTTATTTCAAATTTCATCCACGTAGAAGGCCGGAATCACTGCGGCAGTGAAGGGCCTTTTTTTGTCGCGCCGTTGGGGATCGACGATAACTTAAAAAGTATTTAATTTTTTTCTTCAAAAATTTTACTATGTATTTTTAAAACATGCTTAAATATATTCCTAAAATTTTGAAATGATTGATAAAGTAGTTTTTTTAAATATAAATTCCCAAAGATCACCTTTTTTTAGGCGATTACGCTAGTTGTGCCCCTTAATATATAATAATAATTGATTATGATGATGATTACCTTAACTAGCCTCCCAGGTTGCAAAAACGGTACCAGATATTCCGGTTTGGTTATAAAATTTCTATATTCTTCACCTAAGTCATCTAATTTCGTTCTGATATGATGATAGGACGATATTTCGAATTCTCGGTCGACTGTGCAAGTTTGTAGTTCTTGACTTTTGTCCATGACCTCTGATAAAAAAACATTTATCATTATTTTCTCCAAAAATTAAACTAATATTTATTATTATTTATACTTTGATATAAATCCGGTATCGAAGACAAGTTCTGAAATTGATAAAAACTCTTCTCCAACATATATTCAGGATTGATTTCTTCGACTCTCAATAAATTCAAAACCATGTTGTAAGTCAGATGAAAAGCTGAATTTATAGGATCAGCTTTGCCCTGAACGATTTCCTTTCCTGTTGCCGGCGAAACTTTTTCGTCCAGCATCAAAATTACGATTCCTTTGTCGTCCAGGCCACGTCGACCGGCTCTGCCAGACATTTGAATGTACTCTCCGGAGGAAATCTAAAAAATATAATTGAACTAGTGGTGTATGGCATCGTGCCTTAAGGCAAATTGCTGGAACTTCCCGTACCGTAATGAAATATTCGAGAAATTTTAAACGTTTTCAAATATATTATTACAAATACTTTAACTTTTATTATTTTTGCTATCTTGTTATATCTGAGTGAGCAAATCAAATGTAAATCATAAATCAATCAAATTTATCTCCAGAGCGTTAACAATCGTCATTTCATTTCGAATTCAATTTCAAAAAAATAGTTGCCTAATTTACACAAAATTGAAAAAGTGCTCCCGTATAGTCACAGTCTAAACGCACTTGCAAATAATTCTGTGCGACATTTTCACTTATACTGGGCTTAGCTTGGCGGCATTTTCACATTTTTCAATAGTTTTCGCAAAATTGGAAAAGTGCTCCTGTACATAAACAGTCTAAACGCACTTGGGTAAACATTTGTACCAGAGTGGCGCTTAGACTTTGCTTAGCCTGGGTAATTTTTTGAATTTTTAATGCAAATAATTACAAAAATATTTTATAGAAAATAAAAAAAGATGTAATATTTTTTATCCTCAACAGCAATTATTTTGTAAATACAAGCAGAAAGTTTTTTAGATCATTCAAATCGGACGCTCAGTTCACTCAAAAACTGCCATTTTTTGCACATTTTTCTCAGTATCTCCGAAACGACCGGACCTGCCTTTGCCAAAAACTAATCACCTCTTCCCCCAATCATTACTAATTGAATGTTTTTTAGATCATTCAAATCTGATACTCCGTTCTTTCAAAAACTCGATTTCTATTTTTTGCACTCTTTGCTCCGTATTTCCGTAACGGCTGGACCTGCCTTTGTCAAAAACTAATCAGCACATCTCCCCATCAATAGCAATCGAATGTTTTTTAAACCATTTAAATCGGTTGATCCGTGCGCCCGAAAACGTGGACGAAAAAATGCGGACATAAAAACACACACACAAACACACATCCATTTTTTCTGAGGTATGCCAAAATGTTCAGAAACCTTCAAAACGTCGAGGAATGCAAAAATTTTAATACTAAATAATTTAATACCCTATGGGAAGTTAATATGTATGATTTTAAAAATAGCTCAAGTTTTATTTTTAATATTTTAAACTTACCCATCTCATACTCTTTCCATCAAATTTTCTAGGCGACGTAAATAATACAGTCCTCGCAGGCATGTTCAAACCCATAGCAAAAGTTTCAGTTGCAAATAAGGCTTTGATTAAACCTTCAGCAAACAATATTTCAATAGTTTCTTTCAATATTGGTAATAAACCACCGTGATGAATACCAATGCCTCTTTTTAGTAAGGGTAACACATTTTCCACCTATAGAAAAAAATATTATAAGACAATTAATATAAAAACATGGTTGGAAATAAATAAATTTGTAACAATTATTACCTGTGGTAGTTTTTTGTCTTCTTCATTCAAAACATCAATAGCATTGTGAAAAATTTCGTCGACAAACTTTTTCTCCTCAGCTGTAAAATAATTAAATGTTAACATTTTTTATTAACTTCCCGTAGGGTAAGTTATAGTAATCGCAAAAAAATCGAAAATGAAAATTTTTATATCTTTACGTTTCAGAGGTTTCTGAATATTTTGGCATACCTTAGAAAAAAATGGATGTATGTGTGTGTGTGTGTGTGTGTGTGTGTGTGCGTAGTATGTGTGTGCGGATACAAATTTTCGTCGACGATTTCGGGAACACGGATGAAGCAATTTGAATAATTCGATCCGTATTGATAAGGAGACGTGCTGATTAGTTTTTGGCGAAGGCAGGTCTAGCCGTTCCGGAGATATGGGGCAAAAAATGCCAAAAACGGTACCTCAGTTTTTAAGAGAACGGAGCGTCCGATTTAAATAATTCAAAAAACATTTTACTTGTATTGACAAGATGAAGATTTGATCAAATTTTTATAGGGGCAGGTTTAGCGGTTTCGAAAAAAGTAAAAAAAAATGCCACCTGGCGGTCAAAAATGATCATTAGACATATGCACATCAAATTATCAGATATTTTATAGAGATTTTAACAATAAGTATAAATTTTGTTTACATGCCCATGGGTTCTGTACCAATGTTTACGCGTTAGACGGCGATGCGGCGCTTACGCGCTTTATATTTTGTCTCTATGCATTTAAAGCAGTACGATTGCTTTGAAAAAAAGTTTAGATCTTCCAACATATGTCAAAATAAAGAAAACATTTTTTTTTCAAAAAAAAGGATTTAAAAAAAAAACAAATAATTTTTTTTTCAATTTTTTTTTTTCAAAAAAAAGTAATTTTTTGTCAAATTTATAGTTTCTCAAAAATCTTATTTTTTCAAAGTAATTTTTTTTCAAAAATGTTAATCGTTTTTAAAAAAAAATAATAATTTTTGGTACGGGAAGTTCCAGCAATTTGCCTTAAGGCACGATGCCCTAATTGCCTTAAGACAGAATTCCACTTACAGCTAGTTTATGTAACAAATAATGGGTTATGTGATTTTTCTACTTACTGGAATTAAAATCAAGTTTGGCCATCTGCATGGCATAAGTCTCGCATTCTTTCTTGGAAAAGCTGAAGCAAATCAATGGTGCAAAGTTCCTTTCCATAACCATCTTAACAATTTTATAAATATTACTTTCAGTAGGATTTGCGCCTCGAATACCACCTCTTCGGCCTCTTTGGTCGCCCTTTGCTGCATCTCCTGCATTTGCTAACACAGCCATTGCTTTGTTGAAATTGTCTTCTTTGAAAAGACCCTAAAAAAATAATATATATACATATATATATATATATATATATATATATATATATATATATAAATCTCGTGTCACGATGTTGGTTCGCGATGGACGCCCAAACTACTAAACCGATTTTAAATTTTATTGGATCATCGTGTGCATATATATCCAACTTAGGTTATAGGAAATTTTGTAAAGTAAATTTGAAATATAAATATTTTTATAAATTTCTGAAAATTTTGACAGAAAATGACCAAAAAAAAAAACAAAACACTAAAATGACAAATGTCAAAATTTAAGGAAATTTCGATATATAATTTTTGAAAAAAAATTTGACATTTCAAAAAATAAAATTCAAAAACATGTACATATATAGAAATATCTAACATTTAAATCCAAATTTGATGAAATGCTATATTCAAAATCACTGTTTATAGTTTTAAATTTAATTAAAAATCAATGCTTAAAAATTTGAATAAATGTTGACATGTAAAAAAATTTAATGTCATTTGACAGTATTTATGAAAATAATTATATAAATAGATTTACGATTTAGATTTAATTGATTAGCTTACCAAATTATTTCGGATACCAAAACTTCATCAAAACCTTATAGATCAGAGATTACAATAAAAAAGCGGCATATTGAATTTAAAATTAATCATAAACAAAAATTTGGCATTTCACAAAAAAAATGTTTAACGACTTCAGTAGGAAACAAATGAATTAATTTTTCCAAGTTATGTTATAGGCAATATTGCCAAGCAAATTATAGATACAAAACATTATTGTAAAATAAATATTATCATATTATATTAATTTTGGACCAAGAAGGAAATATTTTGACATTTATAAATTTAGTGCATATTGGATATATGAAATTAACATTCACTATTTTTCATTTAAAAAAAAATTGTATATTTAGATAAAGATACTGCATTGATTTAGACTAAAATTTAATTTATTCTTTAATTAAAAAAAAAATTAACATAAACAAAATTAAAATAAACAAAACACTATGATGCGCTGGATAATTATTAATTTTTTAACAAATAAATAATATTTGAAAGAAAATTTTATTGACATATATGACATGACAAAAGTATAATAAATAAAAAACTATGATGCGAGTGAATTAATTTTTGAAGTATGAAATGTCAAATAATTTTGAAAACTATAACAAGTTTTTAACTATTTGTTAAAGAGTCAGAGTGCAAATCTATTAAATATTTGATTTTTGACACTTTTATTAATTTTTTATCAATTTAGGCATATTTTTTATGGCAAAACAACGTTTGCCGGGTTAGCTAGTATATATACATATATATATATATATATATATATATATATATATATATGTATATATATATATATATATATATATATATATATATAATATCATATTTTACCTTTTCGTCCACTACTAAATGTATTCCATCCCCTCCTGCAGGAAAAATATAATGTTGCAACGGAGTAGGCCTGTAATCTGTATAAACAACATGACAAGGTTGTCGATGGATAAAACAGACCCATTCAGCAAATTGTGTTGCATTGGGAATTGTGGCTGATAGAAAAACTTGTCGCACATTGTCTTGAAGGAGAATTAAAGTTTCTAAAATAATAATAAGAAAATTAAAATTATTGTTGAGCAAATATATATATAATTAATATTGATATTTGTATTTTCATACCTTCCCATACGACTCCACGTTCTTTGTCTCTCATGTAATGGATTTCATCAAAAATAACCCAACCGACCTCACGAGTAACCTCTGAGCCTCTGTATAACATACTGCGCAAAATCTGAAAACATTAAATCTAAATATAGTTCGGAAACTAGCTGTAAGTGGAATTCTGTCTTAAGGCAATTAAGGCATCGTGCCTTAAGGCAAATTGCTGGAACTTCCCGTACTAAATATTATTATTTTTTTAAAAACGATTAACATTTTTGAAAAAAATTTACTTTGAAAAAATAAGATTTTTGAGAAACTATAAATTGGACAAAAAATTACTTTTTTTTGAAAAAAATTTGAAAAAAAATTTTTTTTTCTTTATTTTGAGATATTGTGGAAGATCTGAACTTTTTTTTTCAAAGCAATCGTACTGCTTTAACTGCATAAAGACGAAATATCAAAGCGCGTAAGCGCCGCATCGCCGTCTAACGCGTAAACATTGGTACAGAACCCATGGGCATGTAAACAAAATTTATACTTATTGTTAAAATCTCTATAAAATATCTGATAATTTGATGTGCATATGTCTAATGTTTATTTTTGACCGCCAAATGGCTCATTTTTTTACTTTTTCCTCCATATCTCCGAAACCGCTAGACCTACCTTCATGAAAATTTAATCAATTCTTCATCTTGTCAATACAAGTAAAATGTTATTTGAATTATTCAAATAGGACGCTCCGTTCTCTTAAAAACTGAGTTACCGTTTTCGGCACTTTTTGCCCCGTATCTTCGGAACGGATAGACTTGCCTTTGCCAAAAACTAATCAGCACGTCCTATTATCAATACGAATCGAATGTTTTTTGAATTATTCAAATCGGTTGATCCGTGTTCCCGAAATCGTCGACGAAAATTTGTATCCGCACATACATACACACACGTACATACATACATACACACACACACACACACATTCATCCATTTTTTCTAAGGTATGCCAAAATGTTCAGAAACCTCTGAAACGTAAAGATATATAAAAATTTTCATTTTTGATTTTTTTGCGATTACTATAACTTGCCCTACGGGAAGTTAATAAAAAATTAGGGCTTATGGGTTTTTAAAAACAGTTTTTTAGTAGAAACTTAGTAGTAGCAATGTGTGAATAATATTTAAAAATTAAATAATTTAATAATTGCTTCTGTTTGCTAACCTCAGTGGTCATAATTAAACAGGCAGCTGTTGGATTGATAGTAACATCTCCAGTAATCAAACCGACATCCTTAAATTCTTCTGTAAACTCTCGAAACTTTTGATTAGATAAAGCTTTAATCGGTGTTGTATATATAACTCTCTGCTTATCCTTCAACGACTTAGCTATGGAATACCTAAAATATTACATATAAATATAAAATCAAGCAAGTTATCATTTACCATTTATCATTTATCACTTACTCAGCTACAACAGTTTTTCCTGCAGACGTATGTGCAGATACTAATACGCTCTGGTTGTTTTCTATGCACAAAATAGCTTCCTTTTGAAAAGGATCTAATAGGAAAGGATATTCTTTAGCTGGTACAGAACTGGGAGGTCTTAAAGGAATGTAATCCAATCCAGGGGGGTATGCTACTTCGTGTAAACATCCTTCCACTGTTTCTATTGTGTGTACTACTATGCGCTTGTTTAGGTCGTCTAAACTGAAAGAAATAAGGGGAAAAGATTATTGAAAGGGAACTTATCATGCTGAAAATGTTTAAGGTGACTGAAAATGCTGTAAGCTGACTAAAAATGTTCTAAGTTGACCAAAAATGTTTAAATATTGGTTCTTTGATAGTCAAATTTCTTGTTTGGCATCAAAACTAATATAAATAAGAACTGACTATTTATGAATGAATAATTTACTTATAACTATGACTATGACTTATGAATGACTATTTAATTTAATAATGAATATTTTGTATGGTATATATCTAATTAAATCTGAATAACATTGTCTTAGATTAAGCATATTTATTTATTTATTTATTTTAAATATATATAGCCCACAGATTTCTTCCAATAAAGACTCAAAAATACAAATATTTTACATAATGAATAACAATTAGAATGTATACAAAATTACAAGATATAGTTATTAACATAAAATGCTTAACATAAAATTACATATAATGCAGAATGCAACAATAATATTTATAAACAGAATAAGATAAAAAATGAGATATGTGAAAAGAAAATAAAAAGGTTAACTTGTGCAGATGGATATTATTCGATTATTAAGTGAAGTGTTGTGAATATCTATTTCATTATTAATTAAGTTAAAGTTAGAGAACATAACCTATTTTAGGCGAATTTAAGAGAAAATTAATTAGATTTAGGAGTAGGATAATTGAAAAATAATTGTGAACGCATAGATAGCCTTGGAACAATAAAAGATTGTTGATTAAGAATAAGAGGACAGTCTATAGAATTATTGCAAAGTTTAAATGAGAACATAATTGTACAGATAAATCGACGTGAGGCAAAGGAAAGAATACCAAATTCTTTTAGTAAAGTGTTGTGGTCAAAGCCACGTTCAGGGTAAATTTTTCATGTTTTATAATAAAGATATTTCAGAAATTTTTGCTGAACCTTCTCTATCGCATCAGAGTTGTTGATTTGATGAGGATGCCAAATGATCGAACCATATTCTAATTTTGAACGTACAATAGAATAGTACATGCAAAGAAGTGTATTGTTAGAATTGAATTGTTTACAATTTCTCAGTATCAAACCTAAAGATTTATGTGCTCTATTAGAAATATCAGTTATATGATCCCTGAAAAACAAACCAGAATCAAATAAAACTCCTAAATCTGAAATTTCATTACATCTATCAATGCTGGTGTTAGAGATTTTATAATCAAAATGTATTGGAACGCGCTTATGTGAAAAACTAAGAATTTTGCACTTTGATATATTTAAATGTAATTTGTTATAGACACACCAAGAGTGGAAAGAGTCAAGTTGAATCATATTGTCATAACAAATATTTTACTACTAAACCAATTATCAATGTACATACTTGATATCATCCAACAAAGGATCCATTTTCAACTTCTTCGGTGATTCTTCCAATTTCTCAGAAGGTCCAGGAGAAACTGGTCTTTTTGTGCCTTTAGCATCATCATCTTTAGGCCTAGAGAATAGTTTTAATAATTACGATTATTTATATCAATTATCTTTGTATAATTGCACGGCATGCATTAATTTTGAGGTTATGTTAACTTACTTTTCTGAAACATCCTTTGGAGGTGGAACAGTAGGAGGACCTATTGAATTTTGATTATTACTAGTGAAACAACTAAAAAGTTCGTCCAAATCGTCCATAATTCAACGTTAATATAAATTATATATGTTTTTTCAAAAAATAAACAAAACCTCACTACTTGGAACGAGTTCGGTTGACAGACAGAACCATAGGCAACATAAAAATTAGAACATAGGGCCCATAGATGAAAAAATATAGATAGGACACTTGGTAGTAAAATACAGGTTCTGTCGTTTAAATTTTGAATTTTAAAAATGAAATATATAAATATATATACATACTTTTAATTAAAACTTGGAAACAGATAATATCAGTAATTGTATTTAATAAGAACATACACTGCATATGTCCCTAAAACGCGGCTAAATTTAAAGAATTGAGTTTCAATGGTACAGCTGTTTTTGAGTAAATGTGAAGAAAAGGCCAAATTTTGGCTCACATCCTTACATTTGCACAATTGCGGTATCAAACGATTCAGGACGACTCGAAACATCGAGAAAACAAACTTAGCATATCGAATTTTTACTCTGCAATCGAATAAATATCACTCTGTAAACAGCTGTTTTACATTTAACTATTTCATATAAATAAACTCTTTTAACATGGAATATTTATTATTTATATACAAAAAAGTACATTGTACAAAAAGATAAAATTAACAATTTGGTTCAGCAACCACATTCACATAATTTTTATTTAACAATAGCTCAGAAGACAACAAATACGGCATCTGACATAAATTACAACAAGTATGATTATAAATTCAATCGGGGGCCAATATGAATTCCCTGAGCCTTAAAATACACCCTATTGAAATATAATCAGTCTTTTTGGTCAAATCTTCATTTTCGAAAAAATGCAACACACATTTAAATAGTAACAGCATGTGTGATAAATGATGCATTTAAACAAAAATGAAAATTTTGGAAATTTGTTGTACAGGATTCTCACGACTGGTTATAATGGGATAATTGATACATTGACATATGAAATTGTCATAAAAATCTCAAATCCCAAAAAACAGTCACTGAGAAAATATTTATGAGAAAAATTATAAATTTTTGTTACACTATACATATGCGACTAAATATACATTATTGTTTTGAAATTATACTATGTTATTTATAAATTTTTGGATCCGCTCCTGTAATTGATTTGTGATCACTTCGTTCGTGATCTGACAACCAGGCCATCTGCAAAAGATAAAAATTAATTAATAAACCCTTATTCCTTGCCCACTTTGCCAGTATTGTTTTTACCTTTTGTTTGTGCTGCTGAACAGCTTCTTTACATCTGTCCATGACCATTTCTTTGGTTAACACACCGTCTTCGGAGGCATACACAGCAGCTTGCCACGAGACACCCATTTTGGAGATTTCTCGACCAGACATGCCTTCGGTCATTTTTGCCATTTCACTGCACAATGCTGAGTAATCGAATTGTTCTACTCTGAGCCTCCTGCGGAAATAAAAAAAATATAACATATTAACTAAACAGAAACTAGTGGGGCGCATGGCATCGTGCCTTAAGGCAAATATTGCTGGAACTTCCCGTACCAAAAATTATTATTTTTTAAAAAAGACTAATATTTCTGAAAAAAAATTACTGCGAAAAAATTAGATTTTTGAGAAACTATAAATTTTTGATAAAAATTTACTTTGTTTGGAAAAAAAAAAGAATTTTTGAAGAAGAATTTATTTTGAAATATTTTGGAAATTCTGAACTTTTTTTCAAAGCAATCGTACTGCTTTAACTGCATAGAGACAAAATATCGAAGCGCGTAAGCGCCGCGTCGCCGTCTAACGGATAAGCATTGATACGGAAGTGTGAACAAAATTTACACTTATTATTAAAATGTCTATAAAATATCTGATAATTTGATGTGCATATGTCTAATGATCATTTTTGACCGCCAAATGGTATTTTTTTTTACTTTTTTCATTATATCTCCGAAACCGCTAGACCTGCCTTTATGAAAATTCGATCAGATCTTTATCTTGTCAATACAAGTAAAATGTTTTTTGAATTATTAAAATCGGACGCTCCGTTCTCTTAAAAACTGAGTTACCGTTTTTGGCACTTTTTGCCCCATATCTTCGAAACGGCTAGACCTGCCTTCGACAAAAACTAATCAGCACGTCTCCTTACCAATATGAATCGAATGTTTTTTGAATTATTTAAATCGGTTGATCGGTGTTCCCGAAATCGTCGACGAAAATTTGTATCCGCACACACACACATACATACATACATACACACACACACACACACACACACATACATCCATTTTTTCTAAGGTTTGCCAAAATGTTCAGAAGGTTTTGAAACGTAAAGATATATAAAAATTTTCATTTTCGATTTTTTTGAGATTACTATAACTATAACTATAACTACAGGAAGTTAAAAAATGTAATAATTTTTTATCCTCAAAAGCAATTGTTTTGTCAATACACGAAGAAAGTTTTTTAGGTAATTCATCTCGGACGCTTAGTTCACTCAAAAACTGCCATTTTTCAACATTTAGCTATGTATCTCCGCTGCAAAAAAACTGCCATTTTGGCTGGGCCTACCTTTGCCAAAAACTAATAATTGTTTCCCCGTCATTACAAACTGAATGTTTTTTGGGTCATACAAATCGGATGATCCGTTCTCTCAAAAACTCGATTTCTATTTTCTGCACTCTTTGCTCCGTATCTCCGTAACGGCTGGACCTGCCTTTGCCAAAAACTAATCAGAACATCTTTCCATCATTAGCACACACACACACATCTATTTAGTTTCTGAGGTATGCCCCTTAAAAATGTTCAGAAACCTTGAAAACGTCGAGAAATGCAAAAATGTTCATTATCGATTTTCGGCCCATTACTATAACTACCCTGCGGGAAGTTAATTTACCAAACAATGTTAATAATTTATTATAAATCATTTATCCCCTACCTTGCTCCTTCTGCAGCAGGTTGAAGTATGAATTTATCAAAATAAAGTCGAACCAGACGTTCGCGTTCTTCTAAACCGGGTAATGTGAATTCCACCATTTCGTCCAGCCTATCGTTAATGGCATAATCAAACTGTTCAGGAGTATTACTCGCCAGAACCAACATGAAACGAGGACTTTGTTCAGAAGTTCTGTAAAGAAAAGCATTTAAAGCCGCTCTTAAATCTTCTGAGATGGTTTCGGAGGAACGCTTGCGCAGGAAGGCGTCTGCTTCATCGACAAAGAGTAAAAGACCTAAAAGGGAGAAAAGAAATATGGAGAATATTTCATATCATATAAATTAATGGTGTAAATATATTTTTGTACCTTTACGGGAGCTGTTAGCCCAGTCAAAGACTTTATGTATAGCTGTGACACCTTCACGACCCATTGGAGCCACATCACCACCAGTCATTATGGCATAGTCCATTCCCGAGTGCGATGCCAATTTCTACAAAATAATATATTTATTTATTTATTTTAAATATATAGCCCACAGATTTGTTCCAAGAGGACTTAAAAATACAATTATTTTACATAATGAATAACAATTAAAATGTATACAAAATTACAATATATAGTTATTAACATAAAATGCTTAACATAAAATTACATATAATGCAGAATGTAACAATATTATTTATATACAGAATAAGATAAAATAATGAGATATTTGAAAAGAAAATAAAAAGGTTAACTCATGCAGATGGAGATTATTCGATTATTAGGTGAAATGTTCTGAATATCTATTTCATTATTAATTAAGTTAAAGTTAGAAGATATAAGTAAAATAGGCGAATTTAAGAGAGAATTAGATTTAGGAGTAGGATAATTGAAAAATAAGTGTGCCTTGGAACATCAAAAGATAGTTGGTTAAGAATAAGAGGACAGTCTATAGAATTATTGCAAAGTTTAAATAAGAACATAATTGTACAGATAAATCGACGTGAGGCAAGGAAAGGAATACCAAATTCTTTTAGTAAAGTGTTGTGGTCAAAGCCACATTCAGGGTAAATTTTAAATGTTTCAGAAATTTTCGTTGAACCTTCTCTATCGCATCAGAGTTGTTGATTTGATGAGGATACCAAATGATCGTACCATATTCTAATTTTGAACGTACATTAGAATAGTACATGCAAAGCAGTGCATTGTTAGAATTTAATTGTTTACAATTTCTCAGTATCAAACCTAAAGATTTATGTGCTCTGTTACAAATATCAGTTACATGATCCGTGAAAAACAAACCAGAATCAAATAAAACTCCCAAGTCTGATATTTTATTGCATCTATCGATGCTGGTGTTAGAAATTTTATAATCAAAATGCATTGGAACGCGCTTATGTGAAAAACTAAGAATCTTGCACTTTGCTATATTTAAATGTAATTTGTTATAGACACACCAAGAGTGGAAAGAGTCAAGTTGAGACTTTAATAATAAGCACTCATCAATAGAATTTATTTTGAGATATAGTTTGAGATCATCTGCAAATAATAAATGTGGACAGCTTATAATATCAGATATGTCATTAATAAAAATAATAAATAGTAGTGGACCAAGAATGGATCCCTGAGGAACACCTAAACTGATATTTTCAATAATATTCAAGAATCCATTAAAATTAACAAACTGTTTACGATTATGAAGATAACTCTTAAAAAAATAAATAAGTGAAGAATTAAGTCCATTGGTGTCAAGATACTCAGCTATATATTGTTTAATACAGATTAAATTTGTTATCGTAGAACGGGCAGGCATGAATCCATGTTGATTAGTAGAAATTAAAGTTCTAACAGAAGGAATTAGTTCCCTATAAATATTTTTTTCAAATACCTTAGCAAAGTTTGATAATAATGATATCGGCCTGTAATTAGTAATGTTTGAAGTAACACCTTGTTTAAAAGTTGGAACTAATCGTGCAATTTTCCAACAATTTGGAAAAGTGTTTGTACGCAAAGATAGATTAAATAAAAATGCAAGTGGCTCAGATAGAGTAGATGAGCAATCACGTATAAAGAAAGATGGAATACCATCAAAACCAAATATTTTAGAGTTCTTAAAACTTGCTATTGCAAGTTGCACAGTACTAGAATCAATTTCACCTATATCAATCATGATTCTATCATTATGATCAAATAAAATGGGTATGTCAAGTTTAGGCTGATAAACACTAATAAAGTAAGAATTAAATGCATCAACAATAGCATCAGGAGAATCATAATATTTGTCTAGGCAGCACAATCTATTAGGAATAATATTAGAAGCAGTCTTATTACGCAAAAAGACCAGAAATATTTTGGATTAAGCGATAGAGAATTTAGCTCTGTATCTCCGAACTGGCTGGACCTGTCTTTGCCAAAAACTAATCACCTCTTTTCCCAATCATTACAAATTGAATGCTTTTTAGATCATTCAAATCCGATACTCCGTTCTCTCAAAAACTCGATTTGTATTCTATGCACTCGTTGCTCCGTATCTCCTAATCGGTTGGACCTGCCTTTGAAAAAACTAATCAGCACATCTCCCTATCAATAGGAATCGAATGTTTTTTGAACCATTCACCGTCGATTTACGGCAAAAAATCTGTTCACATACACATACACACACACATACTTTTTCCTTAAATTTGGTCTCATTCGATTCAGAATGGCTTGAAACGTCGAGAAAACATAAAATTAGCGAATCGGATTTTTTGATGAAAACATAAACTTCTCTTTTGGGAAGTTAATAATAAATATTTCTTTTTATTTGCCCTTACCTTTGCAAACATAGTCTTTCCCGTACCAGGCGGCCCGTGCATCAGCACATTCCTATAAAGTCCTTTATTTTGTTTCGTATTCTTAGTGGCAATTGCAACATCTCTCAATCTAGATTCTAATTTTGGTGCTAGAACTACTCCCGCTAATGCATCGGCACTTCTTTCTGTCCTTAATTTTTTCAAAGTTTGTATCGGGTGTCTTGCTGCTTCGAGTAGAGAGAACCTTGAAGTCTCGCCGATTAGAGATGGTTTACCTGGAAATAATAAGTAAAAAATAGAGAAGTACATAGAGGAATATTAATATTATAATTATTATTATAATTACCAATTCGTGCTTCAATGTATCTTGCTGTGACACTGGTGGCTCCCTTTGCACTGTATACTCCCAAAGCGAGAAGTGATAAACCGCCAGCAGCCACTGTTACTTTTTGCCAATCCGATAATAAGGCGTGTGCACCTGTTCCAATAACTGAACCAGCAGTTCTGAAAAAAAATAGATTTGTTGTTTAAATGTCTAAATATATTGATATGTTGGTGTTTAAATAAAAAATAAACTAGTTGGTTTGGTATTTAGCCTTAAGGCAAGTTACATGAACTTCCCGATATGTTTAAATAATCGACTTAGTCAATAAAAAGTAAATTAATTTATGAGTGATTAAAAGTATTCCGAGTGGATTTATTACACATCATTGCAAACGAACGAACACTTTGACTCGGAGTATTTTCTAAAATCAAATTTTCAAAAATCAATAATTTTTATAATTGAACCAGTTTCCAGGACTTTAATGGTTTATTATGCTCAAGACCAAGTACTCTATCATCATACCAAGTAAATAGTCTAATTTTAATTTTAACAAATGTCAAAAGAACTACTCATTTTCTCCAACTTTGATAAATTTTTAAAATCAAACTATTTGTCGTAAGGCCGTAATATTTCAGTAAGTTTTATAAGACTATGGTATATATCGCTAAAAAAAATCCATAAAAATCGGGTTAAATATTTTTTTCAACAGTTAATTACAAGAAAACGGCTCGGTAGATTTTCACCTAAAACTAATCAGTATCATTCCCAACTAATATCTTTCGAACAGTTTTTGATTTTTTAAAATCGGTTCGGTAGGATGAGCTTAAATGTGGACGAAAATTTTAAAACTTTTTTTCAAATTGCAAAGAAACGGCTTGGCAGATCGTCACACAAAACTGACAAACGATAGTCCTCACCGAAATACATCAAATGGCTTTTAAATTTCTAAAATCGGTTCAGGCGTTTTTAAGAAAACGTCGATCAAAGGTCTAATTTTGACAAATGCCAAAAAAACGATACCAATTTTTGCAAACTTTAGGGCCGTAATATTTTAGTATGATCTAGAAGACTATGGTATCTACCGTCAAAAAAATAATCATAAAAATCGCCGAATTTTTTTTTTAACACCTTATTACAAGAAAACGGCCCGGCCGATCTCTACCAAAAACTAATCAGGTCGATTCCCAACCAATATCTTTCGAACGATTTTTGAATTTTCAAAATCGATTCATAATTGGGGGCTAAAACGTGAACGAAAAACTTTTCACTTTTCTGCTATTTATAAAGAAACGGCTTGGCCGATCGTCGCACAAAACTGACAAACAATAGTCCTCATCGAGATACATCGAATGGCTTTTAAATTTTTGAAATCGGTCCAGCCGTTTTTGAGAAAACGGCGATTTACGGCAAAAAATCTGTTCACACACACACATATACTGTTTCCAAATGTTGGTCTCATTCGATTCAGAATGGCTTGAAACGTCGAGAAAATATAAAATTAGCGAATCTGATTTTTTGATGAAAACAAACTTCTCCTTCAGGAAGTTAATTAGATGTAAATGGAATTTTGCCTTAAGGCAAGAGCTTTCCAAATTTTAAAAATATTAGTTACAAAATCAAATGTCATATTATAAATGTTTTTTCTTTAAATACTTACTTTATACCCTCTAGCACAGTCACACGATTTTCTGCAGCTTTTAAACGAAGTTGTTCTAGTGTTAAATCACGGTTCTCTCTATCCACCTGTAAAATAAATATAAATATGAAATAATTTGGTTGTTTAAACATTTTTTTTGAAGTGAGATTAAAAATAAACAGAAAACTGTTTCCAATTCTAACATTTCTTATCAGATGGACTTAGTTTTGAATATGGTTTATAAATAAACTATTTACCTTGGCTTTAGCACGCAATTCTGCTTCCAGCAATTTTAACTTGTTCTTCTCTCGAAGTTGCATTTCATGTTCAATAGTAGCTTTGCGCATAGCTTCTTGTTTCGCCACACTCTCTTCTTGTCTAAAAATAACAAAATATAAATTATTAATAACTATATATATATATATATATATATATATATATATATACATATATTATTATTACCTTCTTAAATTTTCCTCCTGTTGCCTCTGCTGTTGTGCCAATTGCTCTTCATAACGTTTTTTCGCAAGCTGATCTTGGTATTGAGCTCGAGCTTGATGTTGTTTAGTTTCTTCCTGAATAAATAAATTTATACAGTCCTTTATAGTTAAGGAAAATAATTGAAAATCCATGAATACACAATATTACTTACAACAAGAGTTTTTCTCCGTTCTTCGTGATCTATTCGTTTTTGTTCAACTTTTGCTTGTTCTATGTGTGCTTCGTATTCTTTTACTTTAACAGAGTATTCTTTTTGTCGAGTCATTTCTTGCATTTTAGATAATTCTAGAGCATCTTTGGCATGCGCTGGTGAAAGAAATATATAATAAAATGATCGAAACACAAAATAATATATGTAATTAATATAAATCATTTAGAAAAATATATGATGTAAAGCCATGAATGAAAAGTTCTAACAATCCTATAGAATAAATATTAAATAATATGCTTAATTAAAGATGATGAATAAGGGTAATTCAGCTCTCTGTCTATACAATGATGCAACTTGTTAACCTCAAATAAAATAAAATTGAAATTTTCTATATATTTTGAATGAACCTGTTTATTGCAATTCTAGCAACTCCTAAATTAACAATGTGTCTATTACAATGATGTAATTTCGACCATGACCTTAGTAACATAGTAATGTAGTAACAATCATGTTTTCCTACAAAATCAATGATCCTACCTGATCTTTCCAATTCCCTAGCTGCCGAAGCAGCCCTTTCCAATGCAGTTGAATCAAATCTATAAGCCTCCATAGCTTTCCTCTCAGCCTTCGATAATTGAGCGTCTCCGGCAGATTCGCCAGCCCCCGGAGGAGCCCCCGTTCCGGCATCCATATTCGGAATTTGGGGCTGTTTATTACCGTAACCA